GGTCACTAAGAGTCACAAGCAACTCGACAGCACATAACAACAACAACAACAGTCTTCAATATGTATTACATGTCAACATAAAGAAAACAAAAATCCTTACAACCAGACCAATAGGCAACATCAAAGGAAACATTGAAGTTATCAACAATTTTATTTTACTTGGATCATGATCAGCACCCACATTGATGGGTCTAAACGGCAGTCAAGAAATCAAAAGATGTGTAGCATTGAGAAAATCTACCATCAAGAGATCAAGGATGTCAGTTTAAAGACTAAGATTTGACTGATCCAAATCATGGCATTTTCAATTCCTTCTTATGTATCGATAAGTTGGACATTGTGTAAGGATGACAAAAGTATCAAGGTCTTTGAGTTGTGATGCTGAAGAACAGTACTAAATAACCCATGGACTGTCAAAAGAACAAACCTTAGAGACAAGAATGGTGAAACTTCATCTCACATCTTTGGACATGTCAGGAAAGATTAGTCCTTTGAAAAGATCATTATGCTGAGAAAAGTGAAGTATCAGATAAGGAGAGGAAAATCCTCAAAAAGATGGATTGACACAGTGACTGTAACAATGAGCTTGAATATATCTGAGATTGTGAGGATAGAGTAGCATAGTGCAAGGTTCCGAACTGTTGTTCATATGCTGAGAGTTGGTGGCTATGAGCCTACTCAATGGTACCTAACAGCAATAGCAACTAATCAAATTTCCCAGACTTTCTAAGGTTTAGTACTTTGATTCATGCTGCTTTGTCTGCCTCAAATTCTTCTCCTTGAATTATTTTACTTGCCTGATTTTTTTCTACAAATTTCACATTGAGGTATGAAGACCTTGTCTGGCCCCTTTCTATTGCACACACTTAAAGAATCTATAGCATTTCACTCCCAGAGAGTAATTTTGTTTTTTAATACAATCGAGTCAGAACTAACCCAGAGCTGACTCTGCAGGAGGTTTTAAGAAGCAGTAAATTGCACAGGATTAAGTTTCCCATCCTTCTCTCACAGAATAGCTGGTGGATTTGAACTTCACACCTTCAGGATTCCAGCACAGTTTCCTACCATTGGACTACCAGACCAGCCTCAATATCATATTTAGTAACTTGTGTTGTGATTGCCTCTCCATATCTTTCAGTCAATGGTACATTTCTTTTTTAAAAAAAATTGACATTTTAATGAAAGATAATAGAGAGTTTGGATTTCCACTCATTCATTGTTGTACATTTTCCTCCCTGACCACCCCTCCCACCAGTTGGTTTTTCTTTGAAAAGTATATAAAAAAAATCCTTTCATTATTATACAATCACACACCTCCTCCAGTCTACTCCCCCATGAAGCTTTCATTCTGGATCTTGTCCTGAAAACAATACCTAATCATATCTTCCTTTCAAACACTTCTTTCCCTCATATGTTTCAATGCAGTATACACTATTTATCCTCTGTTTTCTTAGATTCCCCCCCGCCCCACACACACACCTTAATGTCAATCCTGTTTTACAACAGTGGCATTATTTAGTATTTGTCCTTTTGTGACTGAGATATTTCACTCAGCATAATGTCCTCCAGCGTTACCTATTTTGTATAATATTTCATGAGTTACTTGTTTTTCAATGCAGCGTTGTATTCCATTGTGTGAATATACCACAGCTTCTCTATCCATTCATTTGTTGATGAGCACTTGGGCTGTTTCCAAATCTTTGCTATTGTGAACAAAGCTTCAATGAACATGGGTGGCAGTTATGGTTTCTTTAAGTTTAATTCCCAGTAGTGGAATTGCTGGGTCAAATGATATTTCTATTTCCAACTTTTTGAGAAAGCGCCATACTGTATCCCATAATGGTTGCACCATTTACACTGCCAACAATAGTGAATAAGGGTTCCAGTTTCTCCACAACCTCAGCAGCATTTGTTTTTTGCTCTTCTGTCAAATTTTCCAAATCTTACTGGGGTGAGATGCTATCTTATAGTTTATTTGATTTGCATCTCTCTTAGAGACAGGGATTTTGAACACTTCTTCATGTGTTTGTTCACCATCTGAATGTCTTCTTTGGTGAAGTGCCTGTTCATATCCTATGCCCATTTTTCAATTGGGTTGTTTACCTTTATCTTGTGTGGTGCTTGAGTATTTTATAAATTCTAGATATAAGTCCCTTATCAGACATCTGTTGTTGTTGTTGTTATGTGCTGTCAAGTCGCTTCCAACTCATAGTGACCCTATGTACAACAGCTCTAAACTCTGCTCTGTCCTCTGCCAATCGCACTATCTCTAACACACCCATCCCGATTACCCCAGTCACTGAATCAATCCACCTCATAGAGGGCCTTCCCCTCTTGCGCTGTCCCACCACCCTACGAAGCATGATGTCCCTCTCCAGGGACTGGTCCCTCCTTACAACATGTCCAAAGTATGTTAGATGGAGCCTCAGAATCCTTACCTCTAGGGAGCCGCCCAGTTTAACCCTTTCCAGGATGAATCTGTTTGTTTTCCTAGCAGTCCATGGTAGCCTCAATACTCTTCTCCAGCACCACAGCTCAAAGGCATCATGTCATTACCAAATGTTTTTTTCCTGGTCTGTGGCTTCCCTTTTCACCCGTTGGAGAAGTTTTTGGATGTGCATAGGAATTTGATTCTTAGAAGGTCCCATTCATCTATTTTATCTTTTCCTGGTTGTAGGTGTTTCAGGATGCTTAGAAGACTGTTAAAGCAGTGGATTAGGGCTTCTAAAGTTATTCCAAGCTTTTCTCCAATGAAGTTTATATTCCTTGATTTTAGTCCTAGGTCCTTAATTCACTTTGAATTGGTTTTTGTGTATGGAGTGAATTGTGAATCTTGCTTGAGTTTTCTGCAGATAGTTTTCCAATTTTGCCAACACCATTTGTTAAAAAGGCTGTCGTTTCCCCACTTAACTGATTTCATCTCCTTATCAAAAAGCAATTGTCCATAGGTAGATGGGATAATTTCTGGGTTCTCAATTCTACTACATTGATTTCTGTGTCTGTTGTTGTACCAGTACCACACTGTCTTTACCACCATGGCAGTGTAGTAGGATTTGAAATCAGGGAGTGAGATGCCTCATACCTTGTTTCTCTTTTTAAGGAGTGCTTTGGTTATCCGGAGCCTCTTTCCATTCCAAATTAAATTGGAAATTGCCTTTTCCATCTCGTTGAAGAATGGTATTGATATTTGTATTAGGATTTCCGTGAACTTGTAAATTGCTTTTGGTGATATTGTCATTTTCACGATATTGAGTCTTCCTATCCATGAGCAAGGGATATTCTCCCATTTCTCTAAGTCTCTTTTTGTTTCTTGTAGTAATGTTTTGTAATTTTCTTTGAATAGATTCTTTGTATTTCTGGTTAGATTTACTCCCAAGCATTTTATCTTGTGATTAGCTATTGTGAAGGATATTGGGGGTTTTTTAGCTCTAGCTCTGTATTCTCTTTGTCACTATAGAGATATCCAATTGATTTTTTTTTGTATGTTTACCTTGTATTCTGCCACTTTGCTGAATTAGCCAACTATGTCCAGTAGTTTTCTTTCTGAGTCTTTAGAGTTTTCTAGATATACTATCATATCATCTGCATAGAGATAATTTTACCTCCTCTTTGCCATTTTGGTCACCTCTTATTTCCTTCTCTTGTCCTATTGCTATTGCTAAGACTTGCAATAAAATATTGAACAAGAGAGGTCATAGCAGGAATCCTGGCCTAATTTCTGTTCTCAGATTGTACACTTCTTAAGGACAGGAATAGGTTTAATTTATCTCCACAATGCTTACTATGATGTCTCTATAACAAATGATTTTTGAAAGGACTAAGAAAATGATAAATTAATGTGTAATTATTTCCTATGTATAGGTACAAAAGAATTTCAGTTCATGGATTCTTGTTTTGTGTTTTTTTTTTTTTCTTTTACTGGTTCAGGAGTAACTGTGTACGTCAATATTTGGGCTCTTCATCGCAATCCTGCTGTCTGGGAAGACCCTGAGGTATGGATTGTATTAAACTTTACCATCTTAGTCATTTACAACAAGAAGAATAGAAGCATATTCACAGTTAAATGAGCAGTTAGAATGGATATTAGACTAGAAAAACAGAGCAAAACCCATATACATTCAAAAAGAAAACATTGTCTCTTTTAAAATCATTGCTATATTCCACATGTCTCATCACCAGAAATTCCTTTCTCACTATTTTTATTCATTTACACAGTCCATATATTTGCAGTGAGTTGTGAAATATACTGCAAATAATTTGTTAGTAGTAATAATTAAAGCATCAAAATTGTTACTTATTTATTCAGGATTCATTTGTTTGTTTGAAGATTAGAGGTTCACCCTCTAAGAGCACTATTCTCATTCAAACACTAACAGCCAAGAGAGAAAAATCAGATTTGTTGGTTGCAGACCAGTTCTCTAACAAACTCCTAGCACCTGGCAGGTGGGATATTCTAACTGGGATTGGTTTTTTCTTTTTTTTGTTTTTGTTTTGTTTTGGTTTGTCCCCTCTCAGGCAGAATCTGAAAAAATTTAGCATTTCAATTTTCACTTAGAAAACACAGAAAAAATATAATCACTCTTTTCTTTTTGATCAATTTTTATATGACAAGGACCCATAAATAAAAAACGAAAACTAGCCAAGTAAATAGATTTGATCAAGGGTGATTGTGTGACTAAACATCCACTTCTGAAATAACAAATCTTCAACAACCTTTAGATAATAGAACTTTGGTCCATATAGTACTGGAAGATGAGCTGCTCAGGCTGGAAAGTACTCAAAATGTGACTAGGGAAGAGCTGCCTCCTACAAGTAGAACCTACCTTAACAAGACAAATTGACTAAAACTTTTACCCAGTAAAGTCTTGATTTGCTGATGTGAAAAGATTCATAATGAACAGGAACAGTTACAAATATCCATTAATAGTTGAAACATGAAGTATGACTATAGGAAAATGGGAAGCTGTCAAAAATGAAACAGAATGCATAAAGATTAACATCCTAGGCATTAGTGAACTAAGATAGACCATTATTGAATCAGAAAATCACATTATATACTGTTCTAGAAGTGACAGATTGAATAGTATTGCATTAATCATTTAAAATTAACACTTCAAGATCTATCCTGAAATACAGTGCTATCAGTGATGGAGTAATATATGTGGGCATATAAGGACAATATGTTAATATAATTATTATTTAAATATACGCACTGACCACTAAAGCCAAAAAAATGAAGAAATAGAAGATTTCTATCAAATTCTGTGGCACTCTCATGGCCTAGTCCTTAGAGAGTTCACTGTTAACCCAAAAGTGAGACCTCTCCAACAGTTCAAATCCACAAAAAGAAAGATGGGAAATTTCATCTCAGGTGATTTATAACCTCTGAAAAGCTGCTGGAAGGTCAACTATGAGTCCATTCTGACTCAATAGGTTTGGGTTGAGATGATTAACTTCTGCAATCTGATTGAAACTTATTAAACATGCAATAGGGATTTATTAATAATAATTGCTAACGTGGATGTGAAAAAAGGACTTCTACTTGGAAAATAATGTCTTGGTAGCAGAAATTAAATTGGAGACAGCATGGTGGAATTTTGTACAATCAATGATCTCACATAGGATCAGTGACTACATCTGTGGAAAGAGTCAATATAGAAGCTCAGTATCAACAGAAAAATAAGACCAGGGACCTACTGCGGACAATCAATTA